GATTTGCATTTGAGTTTTGTTAAGAATGGCTGCTGAGAATTCTTTTGGAAGACAATCTGCAGAGATTTTGGGTATCAGACTTACAGGGAAGAATTATGCAACATGGGAATTTCAGTTCAGAATGTTTCTGAAAGGGAAGGAGCTTTGGGGTCACATTGATGGGTCTTCTACTGCTTCTGGAACTGAGAAAGAAATAAGTCAATGGGAATCAAATGATTCACGAATTATTTCATGGATTTTAGCATCCATTGAACCTCATATGGTGAACAGCTTACGTTCATTTAATACTGCAAAGGAGATATGGAATTTTCTGAAACGCATATATCATCAACACAACACTGCAAGACGATTTCAGCTTGAACTTGATATCAGTAAGTTCAGTCAAGGTAATCTCTCTATTGAGCAATATTATTCTGCATTTCTAAATCTGTGGGGTGAATATTCTGATATCATCTACTTTGAGATACCTAAGGAGGCCTTAGCAAGCTTTCAAAAAGTTCATCAAGTTAGCATGCGTGATCAGTTTTTGATGAAACTGAGGCCAGAATTTGAGACTGCTCGGGGTGGATTGCTGAATCGAAATCCAGTTCCTTCTTTGGATGTGTGTGTTGGTGAATTGTTACGAGAAGAACAAAGATTGGCTACACAGTCAATTCTAAGTGCAGCTGGTGGGACATCAGAGGTTGTCAATGTTGCTTATGCTGCACAAGGAAGGAATAGAGGAAAGGGACAAATGCAGTGCTACAGCTGCAAGGAGTTTGGCCATATTGCTCGCAATTGTGGTAAGAAATTCTGCAGTTACTGTAAGCAAAGTGGACATATTCTCAAGGAATGTCCTACACGTCCGGAAAACAGGCGAGCCCAAGCTTTTCAAGCTACTGTTCCAGATGCTCCTGTTATTGGTCATACATCTACCACCAGCCAGACTGTTCTGACCCCAGAAATGGTCCAGCAGATGATTCTTACTGCATTTTCTGCCCTTGGACTTCAAGGTCAAGGTAAGCCAGCTTCATCTACTTGGCTTATCGACTCAGGAGCGACCAATCATATGACTGGTTCATCTGATTTTTTACAAAATTTGCGGCCATATACTGGTTGCCAAAATATTCAGATTGCTAATGGTAGTAATCTTCCAATTACAGCTATTGGTGATATTGGACATTCTTTTCGCCATGTATTTGTTGCTCCTAAGTTGTCTACTAATTTAATCTCTGTTGGACAGCTAGTGGAGAATCATTGTGATGTACATTTCTCTCGTGGTGGTTGTCTTGTGCAGGACCAGATGTCGGGGAAGGTAATCGCGAAGGGGTCTAGAGTGGGAAGATTATTTCCATTGCAATTTATTGTTCCTAGAACTTTATCTTTAGCCTCTATGATTGTTGACAATAAGGCTGAAATTTGGCATAGACGATTGGGTCATCCAAATAATGTCATTTTATCTGATTTAATAAAGCGTGGTTTTCTTGGTGCTAAAGATCAAGGTTTTGCTCATGCATCATCTCTTGGTTGTTCTGTGTGTAAATTGGGGAAGAGTAAGATGTTACCTTTTCCTACTTCTGTTGGTTGTGCTAGTGCATGCTTTGAGATAATACATAGTGATGTTTGGGGTATTACTCCTGTCATTTCACATGCGCAGTATAAATACTTTGTGACATTCATTGATGACTATAGTCAGTTCACATGGATATATTTCCTGCGCACTAAAGCTGAGGTGTTTACTGTTTTTCAAACCTTTGTGGCTTACATTGAGACATAGTTTTTCACTTGTATTAAGATCTTACAGTCTGATAATGGTGGGGAATATGTGTCACATGACTTCCAAGCCTACTTGCAACGCAAAGGGATTGTATCTCAGAGATCATGTCCTTATACCCCTCAACAAAATGGGGTGGCTGAACGCAAAAACCGCCATTTGTTGGATATGGTTCGAACATTACTCTTGCAATCTTCTGTACCCCCTAGATTTTGGGTTGAAGCTTTGTCAACTGCTGTGTATTTGATTAATCGATTGCCTTCTCAACAATTGGGTTTTGATTCTCCTTATTATCGTCTTTTTGGTGTACATCCTAATTATCACATGCTACACACATTTGGTTGTGTTTGTTTTGTTCACCTACCACCTCATGAGCGCCACAAGCTTGCAGCTCAGTCAGTTCGGTGTGCCTTTATGGGATATAGCACCACTCAAAAAGGATTCTTATGTTATGATGCTGTTGCTAATCGTTTGCGTGTCTCTCGACATGTCATTTTCTTTGAGCATGAGTACTATTTTCCGCAGCACACTTTTCCTTCCAACAATGTTGTTCTTCCTAGCTTTGATGATATCTCTCCACCAATTCAACGATTTAGACCTGGCATTGTCTATCAACGTCGACGACCTCCATCAGTAGAAATCCTTCCCGATCCTGCTCCACTGCCTACCACTTCTGATGATTCTGTGACTCTGCGACGATCTTCCCGTATCAGCAAACCTCCTGATAGGTATGGTTTCTCTGCCGCTTTAGTTGACACTGCAGTACCTTCCTCTTATTCTCAAGCAACTAAACATGCATGTTGGGTAAAAGCTATGGACGAAGAACTTCAAGCTCTTTTGGAGAATCATACTTGGGACATCGTACCTTGTCCTACTGGTGTAAAACCCATTGGCTGTAAATGGGTCTATTCCATTAAACTACGGTCCGATGGAACGCTTGATAGACATAAAGCGAGATTGGTGGCCCTTGGTAATCGACAGGAATATGGAATCAATTATGAGGAGACATTTGCTCCTGTAGCAAAGATGACTACGGTACGACTTGTTCTTGCCATTGCTGCTTCTAAGGGATGGTCACTGCGACAGATGGACGTTAAGAATGCCTTTTTACATGGAGATCTGAAAGAAGACATTTATATGACTCCACCACCAGGGTTATTCTCCACACCTTCAGGTGATGTTTGTAAGTTGAAACGATCACTCTATGGTTTGAAACAAGCTCCACGTGCTTGGTTTGATAAATTTCGTTCCACACTTCTTGGTTTCTCCTTTGTCCAAAGCCAGTATGATTCCTCTTTGTTTCTTTGCAAGACATCTAAAGGCATTGTCATACTTCTTGTATATGTTGATGATATTGTTATTACCGGGACTGATTATGCATTGATTTCTCAACTTCAAGACCAACTTCAACGTTGTTTCCATATGAAGGACCTGGGTTCTTTACAGTATTTTTTAGGTCTTGAGGTATATTCTAGTTCCACCGGTATTTTCTTAACCCAGCACAAATACATTCGGGAGTTAATTGCTTTGGCTGGTCTTCAAGATGGTCGATCCATTGATACCCCTTTGGAAGTGAATGTTAAGTATCGTCATGATGAAGGTGATCTTATCTCTGATCCGTCTTTATATCGACAGTTGGTGGGTAGTCTAAACTACCTGACTATTACTCGCCCTGATATCTCTTTTGCTGTTCAACAAGTTAGTCAGTTTATGCAAGCACCTCGGCACCTTCATTTGGCAGCTGTTCGCCACATTGTTCGCTATTTGAAAGGCACTTCTTCTCGTGGTCTTTTCTTTCCAGCAAACTCTCCTATTCGCCTGATTGCATATAGTGATGCTGATTGGGCTGGTTGTTCTGATACTAGACGTTCAGTTACTGGTTGGTGCATGTTCCTTGGTACTTCTCTCGTTTCCTGGAAAAGCAAGAAGCAAGACAGGGTGTCTAAGTCTTCTACGGAGTCTGAGTATCGTGCTATGTCTTCTGCATGCTCTGAAATTGTTTGGCTCCGTGGATTGTTAGGTGAGCTCGGGTTTCCTCAAAAAGGGTCTACACCGCTTCATGCCGACAACACTAGTGCAATTCAAATTGCGGCTAATCCAGTATTTCACGAGCGTACCAAACACATTGAAGTGGATTGTCACTCTATTCGTGAATCATATGATGCTCAGGTCATCTCTCTTCCGCATATCCCCACTGATCTCCAGATTGCGAATGTGTTTACTAAAGCTCTCTCCAAAAATCGTCATCACTTTCTTGTTGACAAATTGATGCTTGTTGATCAGCCAGCATCAATTTGAGAGGGGATATCAATGGTATCAATGGCAGAGGTTATGGGAAAGATTATGGCAGATTATATGGCAGAGGTTATGGGAAAGATTATGGCAGATTATGACAGACATTATGGCTAAAATCTGTATATATTTCTTACCTAGAATAGAAAATCAGTTACCATAGCTGTATATTAGGTCAATCAATCAAGTATATATAGGGGTTTACCAAAAATAGATTGTACAGGAATTCTTATTTAATAGAAAGGACCAGGAAGAGGAACCGGACCCGATTCCAGTCAATTTACTCAAATTTTGTCAAAAACTTCTATTATCTTTGATCCAAAAATTCCACAAGCATTGCTGTTGAAAGATTGGTACATCATATTTTCTCTTTCCCTTTAACTTATTCTATAAACAATGCAATTTTTATTTATTTCGCAATTGTATAATTACATTTTTTATTTTCTATATTACAGGATATATGCAAATATGACATATATTCAAGGAGTAATGCCTGGAACTCTCTATGACGAATTTCACCAAACAATCAAGCCTCCTCCAGAAGAAAAGATTCGACAAGTCAATGAGATCCTCAACACACCATATCTGGTACACAAAAAGTTCCATATATATATATATTCTATTATCAACTTTATATTGACAAATAATTCTGATCACAAAAAAATTACACAACTACCATTCAATTAACAGCCAAAGCCTGTATGGATCCGAGCAACTCTGAAAATAATATATCCACAGCGACGCCTATACAGTCTCACTTTCCCAGCACAAAATTGCAGAAAATTAACTGGTGCGCTTGCAAACTTCCAGTTCACCTGTCGCCACTGCAATGTAACATTTCCAAGGCCACAACCCAGGTAACAACCGATCATCTAATGATTATAATATCAAATGTCTAATACAAATATATAACCAAATTCTGTGCTATTAACAATGCAGGTTAAGATTCCTGATTCAGGTGTCTGATGTATCTGGCATATTCACTGCAATAATTGAAGACCAGACTGCTCAACATATTTTACAAATCAATCCAGAAGACATGCAATGGAGCAAAAGGCAAGACTTTACTTACATACAACAATATCTATAGTTGTTTCACTAATAAAATAAATAACACTTACTAATACAAAGATATATTATAGCAGAATGAAAAGCCAGATATTCCAAGCATCAACAGAAGACTAGCAAATCACATTTTTTGTCTTCAAGTGAGAAAATTCACTCATGCACTGGGAAACACCATAGTTGCAAAATATACTATAATTGCTTGCTTCTCAGATACCACCGAAACATCAATCCTGCTTCCACCGACTGAAGAAGAAGGATCATCATCTAAAGCATCAACTATGGAATACGAAGAACTTCCACAATTTGAAGACAAACCAGCCTCTTCAGCATGTAAAAATCCGGTTCAATCTGGAGACACATCTGGTGCAACAACTTTTTCTCCCTTTAGTTCATATGAGCCAAGCCAGCCGACCGCAGAAACAGCACAGCCAATGAATCAAAGCCCAAAGCGAAAGACATCACGAACCAACAACACCTCCACAAAACAAGCAAAAACTAAGTAAATGTGGAAGATTAAGTCTTACCACAATGTACATAGAATCTTTTGTCCAAGTAATGGTTATATATATATGTATAACCAGAATGTACATAGAATCTTTTGCCAACACTATCCTAGCCATATACATAACACTTTTGTCAAGGCTAGGCATGTAAATACTACTTTTATCAATGAAGCATCTTCCGCAGTCTAAATACACTTCATTCATGAGTTCAAGCAAAGCTAACAAACTAACTCTATTCCACAAACAATGTCTGGGCAACCTCGCGCGAAGCGCGAGGCGCACATCAACTAGTAAATTGTAATATTAGGATCTAAACATGTGGCGTGCCTCAACTCAGCAGTCATTGACCAAGAGATTAAATAGAAGAAGATTAGAGTTGGACTCACCTCACAGCATAGTTTTAAGCCGGGGTTGGTGTGAAATTACACGAGTTGATCGAAGCTTTCTTCAGCAAGAATCTAATCCCAGATTGAGAAATTTGAATTGCACGGCTTCTTCTTGAATATTACCACATATGGCACAAAGGGTTGATATAGGAATGGGTGGGAAAAGACTGCATAAATTCGAGTTCGAAGTGGGGTGTGTATCTCAACTATTTCCTCGGTGGTAGGATTGAGTATCATGAAATGTTTTTGTGTTCGGAGATCCATGCATCTACGGTGCTGAAGGTAGATAGTGGGTGCAATATCGGATGATAAATAGAGTGGGTGTACATATGGGGATTTTGGGGTTATTTTTTTGTTACTCCTCACGGCCATTTGTTAACCAAGCATACGTCCCTTCACCTGTTCTGGGTAATGATGGATGGAAGAGTGTGTTTCATATGCAACTCAAGAAAATGTGATGTTAACTGTTAAGGCCTTCCATCTTTGGCAGACCCTTTGACACAGGGGACACGTCTAGTAGGGAGTCCGCTTAGAATATCCACCAGGAAGGATATTGGGTCCTTGGCATGGATATTTTCTCCTGTTCAGTATCTTTCTCAAACTGGCTGCAGCTGCTATTGGAAAACATGAGAAGATCGTTTTGCGGTTAGGACTTTAGGAGATGAACAGAAGATGCTGCACTCATATTTTCATTCTATTTAATGGGCAAAAGCCGATAATTGCACCCTCTTTATCAAATAGTATCAGATAGCAATAGATCAGAACAAAGAAGTGCTGGCTTATCTACACTCTAGACCTAAGACATCAGTGTTCAATGGCAGCAGCATCAGAAGCCAATATGTATCCAGAGAGAGAATTACCGCAAGTACGTACGTATCATTCTCATGAAATGCTGAAGTGTAACCCGACATATGAACACCAATCATCTCACCTCCTTCCCCAGGTTGAGTACGCTAATTACCAACTTCATCTAAAACTTCCCCCCACCAAAGTACCCATGGTGGTTCGATTGACAATTGAGTTGAAGGAGCTCATAAGGTTTTGTACCTCAAGGAGTGACTGCTTTCAGATTGTCTTCCGTGTGATAGAGCCGCACATCATGACAATTATCAAGTGATCGTAATCCAAGGAAATTAAAAGCAAGTACCTGGAATTTATTGCTAACTCTCCTAATCCATGGCGATGCTCTCCTTATGTTATCCACCTTAGCCACTTTTAACCCTTCGAGCCCGTGTGCATAACAACAGACGGAGCTAAAGTACGTACGCCCCTGGTACGAGTGAAGAGAATCTTTTGCAGACAAATCGATGCCTGACTTGCATTAAATTCTTAGTGTTATTAGATTACTGATTAACAAAAATTTGGAAGACTCCTGGACTTGTGCGTATTGACCTTGCGAAGAAGCCACGTGCAAGGACCATGCCATTTCTCCATTCGTAACTTAGGACTTGCATATTTTGGCGAGGAAATCATTTTGTCTTTAACATGGCTACAGCAACTGCCTTCCTGGTATGAAAATTTTTAGACTCAATTCTCGATAGATATTCAAAAGGACTAGCAGTTAGAGGACGAAATTCTCTGACATTGTGAACAACTGTACACTAGAAGTAAAGCCAAGATGACAAAATGGTCTACCAATCCAGAGACACATCATCCTGCAGTCATATTACACATCTCATTGACGGACATTTTCAGCACAACAAGAAACACAAGTTTGTCACACCATCTGGAAATCCCAAGTTTGTTGCGGCATCTGGAAATTCCTCACCTGCAGAAACCAAATCACAGTAAAATGGAAAATTCCAACACCACCCAAACAACCCCCCCCCCCCACACACACACACACACACGCACAAACACAAACACAAAAAAAAAAAGAGGAAAAATTGTGGGCCAAATCATGATAATAAGTTTTCAGTCCAATCCTATAGAAATGAGAGCCTAAAATGGAATATCTTGAACTACAAATTGCAATAACACAAAGACTACTGCAAGTATCGGCCAATGATGAAGAATGCTCTGAACCAAGCATGCTTTGCACAGAGAGGAATTAACAGGAGAGGATATTATTTTCGAGTACATGGAAGGAAAGAAGAGATTGGTGTAATTCACATGGTAAGTGGAAAGCACAACAGCAGATATGATAATTAAGTGCAGACAAGAAGGCATGACGCAAAAAGCTTCATCAAGAAGCATGACATTACACGAATTTTTGGACTTGATAGTTGATCTTTCATTTCTATTTCACCAGCTATCCAAGAAATGTATACCAGGATCCATTTAGATCCTAATTTTTCACGGTCATCATGTCTAAACTCTATCCAGTTAAGTTTATTGTCACTTAAACAGCATCTTAAAAGAAATCACACACATTCCAATTTCCATAGACCCACAATTTGAACTCTCCAGTTAAAGCTATTAAGTATACTAATTACTTTTCTGAATAAATCGTGCAAAGATATGTATACGTATTCTAGTTAAACAATAGATTTAAGATGTTTCTACAGTAGCACACTCACATTTCTACCAAGAGGTTGCTCATTGCAAAGATGTGACAAATTTAAGAAGCAACAAAAAAGAAATAATTACTAATGTTCATTGTTGTAAACAAGTTTACCTTGCCAGCATAGAACTGGCTCCACAAACCAATTTGGCACTTCAAAGGAAAAAAATGACTTATTTCTTCTTCTTTCCACCACCAGACTTCGACTTCTTATTTGTATTCTCCTTTTCAATTTTCTCCGCTGCTTCCTGTGATCAAGTTGGGAAATGAAAGCAAATGAATAGTCTTGAAAAGATAAACAGGAAAATTTTTCATAAGGTGAAACAAATTTGCGATCATTTCGTACTGAGGACGGTATTATGTATGTTTTGGTAAAGTCAACACAGAAATTATCAAACTGAAGGGATAGGAAAAGAAATTTTCAGCATTCAGATTCCCATATGTCAATTTCATGGCTACAAAAAATACATGTCCCACAACTTACAAGAACACTTGATAGAAATTCCAAAGACAGAGCCACTGTTTCCAAAAACCATAAGGCCAGAATTGGCCGCACTAAATAAAGGATGGAATACTATTTGATGGGTAGGTACCGCCTAGCAACAACTCTCTCAAATGTCAGAATCAAAATCCTGATTAAAATGCTCAAGAATTTGCAACCATAGTTGTTCAAATCTATCTGTGCACTACAATGGGCTTCCTTCAAGTCATTTTACCGCCTGCGATTGTTTTATTTCAAGAATATCAAGAACGAGGATCAATCAGTCAATGAGAGTGGAAAATTGGCAACAAAAGAGACTGGTATCCAGCATAAAGTGTCTGGCTTCTCCCAACTGAAACTGCAAAAGAAATTTGATTTGCAGATGAACTAAAGGCTATTACCAGGTTGACATTTAGCCTTTCAAGAGAAAGTTGAGATTGCAAATTGCTAGTTTGTCTTTTATGTCCTTAACTCCACAAGTGATGCAGAGAGCTGGCCAATGAGCGCAAGCCTCTACTCAACCACAAATTTCAACTAGAAAATGTGAGTCTTGTACCTGTATAGTTTTCTCTTTTGATGATTCATTCCCTTTTTGTTTCCTAAATGTCAGCTCCTGAATAATACAACTGCCCACTATTCTGGCCCACCTTGGCCTCAAACTTACAACTCTAAGTTCTCTCCTCATAAAATTCTTAAATCTAACAAGCAGATCATCTATTATGCAAGTTATAACTCATTATGTTCTATAGCAATCAGTACTAGTATATTGACCACAAATATGATTTACTTGAACATAATTTCAGAAATTATTTATAGATTAAGAATAAAGATAGAGAATAGTCAAGAGCTAAGTTCACCAAGGTTTTTCAGGTTCACGTGCCGAAGAAGCCAACTCCTGCTAAAAGCAATGACTGCTTTGAGCCAATATTCGGAGTTGGCAGGCCAAAGCGGCCAATGACCCTGGGCCTGTATTTCAGAGTTGCTTTCCCAAAAATCATCTTAAGATTGACTTGAGACTTAGGAGATCCAAGGATGCACTTGGTTTCCTGTGAACCAGTACATAAGAGATTACTGTAACCAACAGTAAACTCATGACATTACAATCCGAAGAAAAACTCTCAAACAAAATATCTAATTTTCAGCTTTTTTGAAGAAGCAATGAAGAGAGGCAAGTATAATCAAAGAATGATTCACTATGATCTCAAAAGGTGGTCTGCAGAATAAAGTACTGAATTCTTGGGCTTTTAGTTTCTAGGTATGTTATATCAGACCAACTTGAGGTAATACATATAAAAGATATAAAACGTACAATTAGTATATTAATTATGATCCCTAACAACTGTTTTGAGGTATTTTGTTTACTGTTACTCCAAATTAATTCCAGTAAGTGCAGCACTCTGATGTCGAGCATCAATACCAAGTATCTTAAGCAAAAGTATTAGGAGACCAAAGTTAAACATGCTCATACAGCCACACGAGGAGCAGAAGAATAAAGGACAAAACAAGAACAACATCACATTGAGTTTGCCAGCGCATGATTTTCTTTATCGAAAAATATTGTGGGACTGCCAAATGAAGGTCTTACATGGACAACAAGCAACAGACAAATGGTCTCAATGCCGAATAATACCTTTCTTTTAAGAGGCGCTGATGTGTTAGCAACTGGTTTGAAGAATGATTCTAATCTGCTCAAGAAAGACACTAATAAGTCATGATTTCACTAAAGCAACAATATTACCAATCAGTCAGTCAGTTCCATACCTCCCCTGCGAAGACTTGTTCTTTGCTGCCTTGATCTTTTCTATTGACTGAATAAATCAACATTTGAGTTTGTAATGTACACAAATTCTGAAGACTGAATTCAAACATAAGCAACCAAATTCTCATCATAAGCATACCTTTGTAACTCTGTCGATGCTGAACCCATTTTCTTTTACCAAAAAGTTTATAAGTCCCTGAAACCAAAGATAATCCCTAAGCTGATCAATAAATAGATATATACGACAATAATGACCAATCTATAATTGTTAATTGAAGTAACTCACTTCTTCATCTGGAGCATTCCACTTGAAATCAAGTTGGTTTTCATCTGTGACAACTTCTGGTTCTTTGAAGAGCTTCCTAGCTTCTTGATATGGCCAATCATCTGGGATTTGGTATCTGAAACATAACAGGTGAAATTGAACTTCAATTGCATATGCAAAGTCAAATGCAACCGCTTGTAAAGTGAATGCAGGAAGAAGTGAAAGGCAGTCAACTAAGGAACATGATGCAAATGAAGAACATCAAACTTTGAGATCTAGGAAATGAGAACTATATCTTAAGATCCAAAATCTAGATAACATATTCTCCTGGCTTTCCGTTTTTCCTGAAACCACAATTTGACAAGTTTCAAGTGACAATATAAATATGTACCTTTCTCTGTTTATGTTCTCGATTACGCTCTCTATTGAGCCATGTTGGCGAATGAGCTTTAAGGCTGTCTGGCCACCAATACCTGATGCATTGAAAATCAGCCCAATATAAGTATGCAATTTTGTTCCTAGATAGCCCAGGGATGCACACAACATGCTCATATATTAGATATCCATGTGAAATTATTGAAAAGGAAGATGAAGAAAAAGAAAGCTAAACAAAAATCTACAAACTTCTCAGTTGAATTCTTGTGCACATTTCCCTTTAAACTAAGACAAATTCTAGGAAAGATATGCCCATTTCCCACAGTATGGATTTTCCATAGTTTGGCAACAACAAAAGCATTTTAAAAGTGATGTTACTACAGCAAGAGAAAGATTAGAGTGCGCAAACCAGAAAATATCCATCTTCCTACATGCATATGTTTCCAGCAAAAACTTCCCAGTCACATTCATGTCAAGATACATGAATTAGAGGTGCAAGTTGTGAAGTCAAAACATTCATTAGGTCAAAACCTCCCAGTCACATTCATGAATTCATGTTTCCAGCAAAAATTCTTTGTCTGAAGTATGTTAAGCTTTCCTTTCTGATATGTTTTTCAAAACAAACAGAAGAAACCCAGATTTTAATTTAAAAATTCTAAGAAGCTTGACAATGATGGTATCAATGAGATGTGTGAAGCCTGACAATGATGGTATCAGTGAAATGTGCATTACCTCTAATACTGTCACAATAATCACATCCACAAAGAATGCACAAGTCTATAAATTGATCCATGGTAAAGTTCAACTCCTCCAAAACCTGTAGAGAAGTACATCAGTTGATGTCTCAATGTTGAAAATTTGTAAAGCGGGATTCTGATACCTTGGAAATTTCAAATTCCATCACAGGGATTTTTTTGGAGCTAGGGTCCATTAGATGTCGAAGAAACTTTGGAGCTCCAAAAGTTAAGGAATCCATGTCTTCAGAGGCCACAGCATAAACCTGACATTCACAGATGTATGATCTTTCCAATCTCATAACAAAGAGAGCATTAATTCCTGTTCCTTCTAATCATTTCCATGTAAGGTGTTCACATGGATATATTGGAAGGAAGCAATATACAAATGGATATATTGGAAGGACACAATCAAAGAAAACTAACTCCCAAAGATGTTATGTTGGTGCAAGCTGTGAGACCACCATTAAGACCAAGATACTTGCCTTTCCTGATTTGCAAAGTGCAGCACATTGTGCCTCTGCTTCTGAAGTGGCCTGACATAACAACAGAGTGGAAGGCACTATAGTCAAAGATATAACTTGTCGTGCTCTTAGGAGAAAAGTCAGCACATATATGCAACTGGCAGGCATCAATTTAGAGAAGAAATATTTTGTTTCACTGGCTCACCTCAATCACAGGTACTCCCATAAGTCTAAGGAGTTTCCTGCAGTCCTCATTATGTTGTTTTGTAACCTACACAACCAAAATCAACATGAAACTGATAACATGCTTAACTATATACTTCAAGGAGTTTAGATCTTCTTGTTTTAAAAGAAAGGACAAGAATATCAGCAATTACAAATATCATCTGTTAACCCTAAAAATAGATGCATAAGCACCTAATTGAAGAATTGGTTAGCTCTTATTGATACTGAATATCGATTTAACTCTGAGAATTGTGTACAGGAGCTTCTAACTTCAATAGTTGCTGTAGGTACACAATACTGTTGTACACTCGCAATTTATATTATCAGAAGTGTATACACTTTCCTCTGTGACAACCTGTCTAATCTCATCAGTGAACAGTATGGTGGAAGGGCTTTATGCATTTATTACTCATTGGGATTTTCAAAAACAATTAATCTATGCAAATTGAACTTCGGCTATTGAACCCAATAAATCAGTATTTCATTCCCTGGATTCAACAGTGACTACAACCTCATCTAAAGCTTGGCATTTTCTAACAAATGCATTGAATTGTGAAACTCAAGAATGATTTCTGTATTTAATCTTCCTTTTTTTCTTTTGTTTATTACTATCTCTGCTATAGGCTGCCAGAGAAAAGGGTTGGAAACTTTCATAAACAGCAGAATGATCAAAGACCAAATAAGTACAGATTGACAACACCGTTCTACACCATATAACAACCATAAAATGTTAATAGCCCACCTTTACTGTCCTCTTACTGAATTTCTCAATGTCTTCCTTGTTGCCAGTCTGCAAGAAGAAATTGTGGGGGAGAATTCAGCTCTTAAAACGACAAGATACTAGAATGATGCTATGAAAAGGGCAAAGTATAAAAGTCAAGAATTTTTTTTCTTTTTTCTTTGGCAGGGTGATTGGAGGCAAAATTATAGTTCTGTTATGTTAACCTCCACAGCCTCATCTAGATCCTCCGTTGCATCTGCCCTCTTAGAAAAACTGCATATCCATATCAGAGTCACAAATTTTGATTTCCGGGAGGGAGCATTCATTCAAAAAAAAAACTTCACAAGCAACATGAATAACAGTATAATACAAAATACCGTTTAGCAAGCTCTTGTTTCTTCAAATCTGGTGGCTTACCATCGAACACATAGCTAAAATTTGAAGGCAATAACAAGTTTTAGCATATGTAATAAACTTCTGACCAAATAAAACAAAAGAAACACAAAAATCAGTAAGGAGAAGATTAACAAATTACACTGGCTTAATTCCAGCTTCCAAAAGCCTAATTGTCCGCGTGAACATTCCTACCAAATGACTTAAAACACAGAACGCAAAACCACATCAATAAACAGTTATAACTACCAAAGACTGGTAAACTTTTGTTTAAGAGTAAAATTCAACAAATATTTAGCATGAACGACAGACAAAAAAAATTTCCAAAGACCTCTCTCTGCATATTTCACTAATTTGCTAATTTTCTGTTTTCGGCACATTATTGTCCCAAAAAAATGTAAAATGTGAGTTACCTAGTAACTTCTCCAGCTTCATTAGTAAGCATTTCAGTGCCGCTTCGCCCAACGACAATCTACAGTTTCATTAATTACAAGGCAAGTTTAAGGCTTTAAGCTTAGCCAAATGCATTTATATCCAGACCAAGAAACAACAAAAATGGGGGTAGCTAGTGTACAAACAAGGAACTGATAAATGCTCATGCTGGCGTCAATGGCGATTTTGCGGCCGAAGAAGCTTTCGAATTTATGTTCTTTCATCGCCTTCGGAGCATTATCCGCTAAAAGCTTCGTTAAACCCTAAGCAAACAATTCAAAGGAAAAATTAGGAAACAGAAAGTTATGAAGCAAAATTAAGAAATCAATTCGCAGAATAAGTTGACAGAAATTAGATCGACATCCAACCTTTATGCCCATGTTTGCAAGAAATTGGGATGAAAATTGAGAGAAATCCTCTGTTGAGCGACTCCTGAAAGGTAGGGTTTTTAAGGAAACTCTTCCCGCCTCTTTAGCCTTTTATACGTGGCCAACGGGTCAGTTGAATTTGACCGACTTGAATTCTTTCCCCGACCTGTCATTGACCGGCTCTGATTAATCTTGACTTATTGGTCTCTAATTAGTAATTAGTACTCCGGGTTCCACTTCTCCTTTCTAACTTTTTTTTAAGTGATTATTTTTTTATTGAAGCATTTTAAGTGATTTATTGGAGTACTAGAAACATGCATTTACTAAACTTACCTAAGACATTTACTCGATAGTATTAGGTTTAGGAAAATAGGAAAGTTAGAAAATATGAGTTTGAAAGTCAAAAAATATCGGTCTATCTATTGAGTGTCCGTTAAAATATATTTTAGGTATTATATATTTGAAAATATAATATTAATTAAGGGAAGTAAATAAATACAAGAAATGGTAGGTAAAATTAAATAAAAAATATATATAAATATAAGAAAGGATAATAATGATTAGTATGTGTGTATATATATGGTAACTTAGGTGAATATTATGTGTATTAACGGGTGCTTGTAGGACACAGGTTAGAAAAACTCAAAAGATATTAATTAAGTACTACTAATCCGCTTATGATCTATCATTATTACATCTCCTTATCTCTAAATTTTATGTGTGTCCATCCTTATTTTGGACAAAGAGAATAATAGTAGTGTCATCTTGGAAACAAGGAAAGGAGAGCTCTTAAGATTTCACATGAGCGCAAAATGTAGAAAACCAAACATAGCCCCGGATAAGCAGTACCAATGCTGGAGTCCGGATTCTTGGGTAGGAGTAGGCCTGTCAACGGGCCGGGTCCGGGTCGGAATTCATTATTCCGGACCCGGATTCGGCATATCAAATCGGATCCGGATTCGACCCGTTTATCCGACGGATCTTCTACTCTATGTTCCGGATCCGGATCCGACGGGTCTCGGATCCGGGTCCGGGTCTACTCGAAAAAATTATGAAAATTTCTAATTTCTAATAAAAATGAGAAAAAAATATATTTATACACTAATTTCTAACTAATACAAAAAAAAATCAAATAAGAAAATAAATCAAATTGACTTTACTCAAATACACCACCCTAATCAAATTATATTGATAAATATATATTTTTTAAATTATTAATCAATTTATATCCGAATCCGGGTCTAATACGGGTCGGAATACTATATCCCATATCCGACCCATTTTTTGTTTGACAAAACGGATCCGAATCCGGGTCCGGGTAACAGAATTAAATCCCTACTCATACCCGCAATAATTTCACGAATCCGGGCCGGATCCGGATCTAGACCCGGACCGTTGACAGGCCTAGGTAGGGGCCAAGTCTTAAATGTAGAAAAATATTTTATTAAGAGTTTGATTTTTTTTTTTCAAGATGAATTATATTTCACATGAGCAGGCGGTCAAGTAAAATAGTATGAAATTTTATTCATGCAATGTGGAAGATGATCAACAAACAAACTTCCTTTGGTTGTTTTTGAAAAAAAAAATCCCAAAATAAATCATTGAAAACACCCTCAAAACATCTTAAGAACACTTAATTATCTACAATAAAGGTTAATTATATCTATCACTATAATTAAATTTTTCAAAAATACCTAATTCATTCATATGCAGCGTTAACTCGGCTGTTTGTCCTTTTTCGTGATACTCTATTCCATTAGGCCGGTCCATATCTGACAGAGGCCTGTTTTTAGTGTATGGTAGCGTCTGGTCTCTTGGCTGAATGAGAACTCTAAGTGGTAATAATAGGCCGAACTAAGGATAACAAGCCCAATTCTGCAGGCAAGCGGTATCATGACAGTTTTCATGTCACATACGTGTTTTGTTTGAATAATCAACATTTGTTTTAAGAAGCAAGATTTTGATCTAGTGATTAAGATTAAAATTTTAAGATTTAAAGATTCTAAATTCTAATCTCCTTCTCCTTCTTCGCCCCTTAAATCTCATAATTCTCCCTTTTTTTATAAAAGTGGGAATTTGCCCCACATTACTGTCTAACTCAACCCTTTACCTTACCTTAAAAGGAATAGGTATAGGTTAAAAGAGAATTTCTCTAGAAGTCTTGGCTTTGAAATTTATCTGCTTTTTACCTTGATACCATTTGTTAGCAAAAATTTTTGTCTAGGTCTGATTCTTGGAAAAAAATGCTTTGAGTTGAGTTCAGTTGGCAATCTATTCCAAAGTTTTTCTAATTTAATGAGCATTAGAATGCAATAGAATGCATAGTTTTGCATGGTATTATTGATATGCAATAGAGAGCTGCAGTAGGGAGTAGTTTTAGGTTGTTATTCTCAACTGTCCTGGAGGTCTAGACTTGCATACTCATAAAATTGAGGAGGAGGAGGAGAAGAAAATAAACCCTGCTTATGTCTCCAGTTCTTATGGTAGAATACAATGTGGATACATTCAAGAGGGTCTTTAATCTCCCATCCCATGTTAATCTTTTGGATGACAACATATACATTAGCAGGCAAATCAAATGTGTTTGGCTGTGCTGCGTGACTTGGTAGATCAGTGTCTTTGCATGGACTTGCAGCTCGGCTCTTGGGCCTTTTTTAAACCATAGCAACTGACAGGCGAAAACGATGGATAAAAAATATTAAGAAAAAAAATGATTCAATAGGAGAAGGCACCTTTTACTGGGGTTTTAACTTTCTTTCGGCGAGACTATGTACAGCATATAAACCTACCAAGAGCATCATGAGTTGAGAGAGATTCCTTAGACATGGTAAATACACAGTACAGCAATCAGTCTGATCTCAAAGCACTGGTACAATAAGGCTGCAAACAATTCTTTGAAAACAAGTTAAAGGGAACAGGTTCAGAAAGCTACTGTGGTTTGCGAATGGGATATACTCCAAAAAAATTCATATTCCTGTCCTAAATGGGGACGATTCATGCCATTCTACATTGACTACAAGTTTACAGGATCTATTGTAGCCAAATGGAAAGTTTCAAATAATTGTGAGCTCCTCCAGTTGCCTGGTCAAATTTTCCCAATTTCTAACATGGTTGATTTGCTAAATAAACTTGAAGTTATGTTGATCAAGTGACCAAGATGTCCATAGGATTAGCTCCACTCAGCAACTGAAGAAAACTTAGTTAATCAGGAATGATCCAATAGGATTTTATGTATCTGCGGTGAAAAGAAAAAAATTCTACTCGGGTAGCTGCTAACTTATAGGTGCGAATTTCTTCTTCTTCTTCTACTTTGATTTTTGAGAATCGTCGAAGGTTCATATAGATGATTGATGTTCGAAAGAACCAATCTTTAGTCGAGGGACAGATAATTTTACCCTTGGAACTCAAGGTCAAAGAGGCCTCCAAGTCCACAGAAAACACCCTCTTCTTTCACCTCCCCTAGGTCTAAATAAGAGAACCTGTTAAGGCATTTTTCATACTGAAATTAAGATCTACTCCAATTGCTATACATATGTTCGAAGAGAAAGGGACAGAAAGTTCGTTCAACTAATTTACTAACAAATGTTATCAGAGCATGGTAAAGCACTGGGAGGGGAGAGATTCTTTATTCCGGTTCTCTTTGGCAACACAGATTAATACATAGTAGAGGTGATCAAAAGCTGAAAAAGGCAAAATATGTAAGAAGCAAAATCACAGGAGTGAGAAGCAAAATGACAGCAGTGAGGGCAGTAGCCCCATCTTTCTGAAGAATAAAAGAAATTCATGTGTTTATCTGATGGCTTTGTTGCACTTTTCTGAACTGGGTCGAGTACAAGGTTACATCAGCTATATGTTCTGAATCAGTACTTAAAAGAGAGAATGCTTTACAAGGATGGGCAAGAGATGAATCAGCTTTTATAAACTGTGCTCATTTCCTCTCGCATGTAATTGAATTAGTTCTTTTTTCTTCTCCCAAAATATGAACCAGCTTTCATATGCTTGGAATCTCCATGTGCTCTCTGATCACCTTTATTCCAATCTTTTCTTCCTTTTCGGTCTTAGGAGTGCCAGAGACTCCTCTTGTCATGTCTATTTCATTTTGCCAAAGTATGCCATCTTGTAGAAATTCATGTCACCTATCGGCTATCAGCATCGAACGTTATGAGTGTCGTCATTAAATTGTATGTGTATGAAAACATATACCTCTCTATACATTCTTCATTTTTGCACATTTTTCCTTTGTGAATTGTGGATTATTTACACTTGGATCTTAATTGGAAGGACTTATTGGGCTCTTTATCGGGAGAAGAAGTTGTTGTAATTGAACTCTGATAGGAGTATTAGGTGTTATTGGGCCTTTCCAACTCAAACGCTAACTCAAGGGTGAGGTCACACGTATAACTAAGTCGAAACGATATGGGATTAATCCAACAAGTATGCCATTACTTGGAGCTACAGAGTTCATTTATGATTTGGGAGGAAAAAAAATTAAATGTGCTGTGCTGAGCCCTGATCCTTAATTTCTTCACACACTTCCCGCACCTGTTTTATTAGGTCTGTCAATGTATTGTATCAAGTCATAGTCGACTGATATTAGTTTCATAGCTAATTGCCAAATTGATCTTGTTGTTTTTAATGCATTCATGTGACCTTCTATTATTGAGAATCTGACTACCCTGATGTTCTTAAATACAGTGATATGTTGCCTAATTTTCTTGGCATTTTCTTACTGTCTATTCAGAATTGATCACTGTAACAATGACCATTATTGATGCAAGTGTCCTCGTCCCACCTGTCAAGATTTGTTAGTGAGCAAAAGAACAGAAGCAAAAGTTTATATGGAAATTATTCATGATTAGGAACCAATTATATGCATGTCACTAGGAAATCTTATTACCGCAAGGAGCAATATTAATTTCAAAAGTTTGTGCAGCTACAGGAGGAAAGCCCATTATTTGATCAATTGTGTTGATAAAGATAAAGTTAGTGGAAAGTGAGGGCAATGAAATTTCGAAATCTTGTGGCCTTCAATCTCTTAAAATCATGGTGGATTCTGGATGAGGAAACACAGAAAGAAAGTTAAAACGTGC